ACACGCTCCCAGGAATTAATGAAACAACCCACAGGGAACTCCCTCTGACCGACACCGCGTCAGGCGGCTGACATCGCGACGCACAAGCTTAAATGGCCTCTGTGCTCAGCTCTCCGTGACGGCCTCTGGGTCGCATTTTCCGAGCCCTGATGTCTGGGATGACGTGATGGAGAATAACCAGGACTCACTAATGGCCACGCTATTGCCTCTTCCAACCATCTTTGATGTTTATTTTTGATTCTGAGACTTTAACGTCAGCACTATTATCAATGAACATTTGTTGTTAGTTCTGAATAACTAACAGCAATTATTAATGTCCTTGATATCACTAAAATGGCTACTGATTCATCTCTTTCCCAGTCACCTTTGGGGCTAAGATGTAAATGAAGGTTTTTTTAACGTTTGCCACCATGGCTGACTGTATCGTTAGAAGTCAGAGGAGGACTGGAGTCTGGATATGGGCTCGTTCCCACGGAGACCCTGGGCAGGTTGCTGAGTGCCTGTGAATGGTGCTGGGAGAACTTTCCGAAACCTTCAGTAGGAATTCTTTTTTTTTTTTTTTTTTTTTTTTTGACAGGCAGAGTGGACAGTGAGAGAGAGAGACAGAGAGAGAAAGGTCTTCCTTTGCCGCTGGTTCACCCTCCAATGGCCGCCGCTGCAGCCGGCGCACCGCGCTGATCCTGGCAGGAGCCAGGAGCCAGGTGCTTTTTCCTGGTCTCCCATGGGGTGCAGGGCCCAAGCACCTGGGCCATCCTCCACTGCACTCCCTGGCCATAGCAGAGAGCTGGCCTGGAAGAGGGGCAACCGGGACAGAATCCGGCGCCCCAACCGGGACTAGAACCCGGTTTGCCGGCGCCGCAAGGTGGAGGATTAGCCTATTGAGCCACGGCGCCGGCTCTTCAGTAGGAATTCTACAAAAAGCCTTTAACTTTTTGATAGTTCCAACGTCCCTGTGAGCTGAATAATAAAATAACGATTGCACCTTGCATTTGTGCAGTGATTCACAACGTCCGAAGACACAGGATCTCACGTCATTCCCTCTCGGGACACGGAGATGACACTGGAGCAGCCTGGGGAATTCCAGAGCAGATGGATGGGGGGGGGGTGCACAGGCAGCCTGACCCCCCTGTGCTGTGGGCTGGGGGGTGGGTGGACAGGCAGCCCGACCTCCCCCATGCTATGGGCTGGGGGGGGTGGACAGGCAGCCCGACCTCCTCCGTGCTGTGGGCTGGGGTGTGGGTGGACAGGCAGCCCGACCTCCCCCATGCTATGGGCTGGGGGGCGGGGTGGACAGGCAGCCTGACCTCCCCCGTGCTGTGGGCTGGGGGGTGGGTGGACAGGCAGCCCGACCTCCCCCATGCTGTGGGCTGGGGGGGTGTGGACAGGCAGCTGACCTTCTCCGTGCTGTGGGTGTGGGCTGGGCTGGGGGGGTGGACAGGCAGCCCGACCTCCCCCGTGCTGTGGGCTGGGGGGTGGGTGGACAGGCAGCCGACCTCCCCCATGCTGTGGGCTGGGGTGGGGGGTGGACAGGCAGCCCGACCTCCCCCGTGCTGTGTGCTGTGGTCTGTGGGCTGGGGGGGTGCACAGGCAGCCTGACCTCCCCCGTGCTGTGGGCTGGGAGATGCACAGGCAGCCTGACCCCCCTGTGCTGTGGGCTGGGGGGGCACAGACAGCCCGACCTCCTCCATGCTGTGGCTGGGGGGGGGGGGTGGACAGGCAGCCTGACCTCCCCCGTGCTATGGGCTAGGGTGTGGGTGGACAGGCAGCCTGACCTCCCCCGTGCTGTGGGCTGGGGGGTGGGGGGTGCACAGGCAGCCCGACCTCCTCCGTGCTGTGGGCTAGGGTGTGGGTGGACAGGCAGTCCGACCTCCCCCATGCTATGGGCCGGGGCGGGGGGGTTGGACAGGCAGCCTGACCTTCCCCGTGCTATGTGCTGTGGGCTGTGGGCTGGGGGGTGCACAGGCAGCCCGACCTCCCCCGTGCTGTGGGCTGGGGGGTGGGTGGACAGGCAGCCTGACCTGTGTGCTGTGGGCTGGGAGGTGCACAGGCACCCGACCTCCCCCGTGCTGTGGGCTGCTATGATTAATTCTCCACTTGCTTAGGAAGTCGCCTTCCCTCCTAGAAAATTAAAAACACCACTCTCTGGACAGGAATGTGGGATCATAAACGAGAACCAAATAGAAGATTTACGCAGAGGCGCAAGCTTAGCAAAGAAGAAAACTCGGAAATTGCTAATAAGTTATAAATCAAGTGAAGGCTATTAGCGAGCCCCTGGCAAGACCAAAAAATAAAAATAAAAAAGGCCGCTAAGTGATTTGCTGAATTCTTAACAATTCCTTACCCGCCCAAGGTGTCCACATGTCTCCAGGGAACTTGGCTTCCGACCCTCGGCACGGCCAGTGCAGGCCACTCGGTGCCTGGGCGTGGCCTTGCTACTGAGCCTCCGCCTCCTATGCTGGGGTGGTGGGGTCTTCCTCACAGCAGCACCCCTCCCACCCGAGCACAGGGGTCGAGAACGTTCGCTTGATGTGGGAAGGCAGGGAGGGAGGCACCTGCCCCTCATTTCACCGATGCTGAGCCCGGGGGCTCCTGAGTGGCCTGTGTCACTAAGCGCAGCTGGTGTCAGGACCAGGACGACCGGGCCCCTTCGGCCCCAGGCCAACGCTCCCAATCTAGACTTTTCCCTCTCTTTCTGCTTGCTGGAACCCTTTCTGGAGATGGATGGTCCCATGTCTGGGCCCCTTTGATGACCAGGAAAGTAAGCACCGAGTCAGGGTGCCTTCTGGGGCCACCCTGCGAGTGCATGGAGAACAAGGACCAGCAGGCCACAAGCTGCAGGACAGCTTCCCGCAAGGCGGGGGCGCTGAGACGCGTGCACAGTGTGCCGCCGGGTGACGCTGGTTCCACGTTGAACCCAAAAGGCATCCATGGGCCCTTGGCCCAATCTCCTCACCCAAGTGTCTGTCAAACAGTTGCTCCGCCTCCACCCAGACACCTTCAATGACAAAGAGCAGATTCACTCCCAGGTGGCCGCCTCCCTCGTGGCGAGCTCTGCTTGTTAGCACCCAGAGCCTGGCAACCCAGCGCTTCCTGTTGGTGTTGCTCTCAGCCACTTCCCCTGGGTGCAAGTCTTTGGTCTCTGTCGAGAAAGACTGAGGGTGCCGCTTCCTCCACGGGGCCTGGGTGACAGGCCTGGGTGAGCAGGAGCGATGACCCGGCAGGCTTGGCGCGACAGGTGGGGACGCACACAAAGCCGCGTTGCTGGCCTGCCTGGAATGTGCGCCCCAGAGTCCCTGTGTTGGACACTTACTCCCCCTTGGAGGTGGATAGGATGTGACGGGGTCCTGAGGCTGGGCCCCCGCGCTGGCGTCAACGGCTCTACTAGAAGAGGAAGAGAGGCCCGGGCTGGCGGCTCGCTCTGTCTCCCCGCGGCTCACTCTGTCCCCCCGCGGCTTGCTCTGTCTCCCCGCGGCTCGCTCTGTCCCCCCGTGGCTCGCTCGGTCCCCCCGCGGCTCGCTCTGTCTCCCCGCGGCTCGCTCTGTCCCCCCGTGGCTCGCTCGGTCCCCCCGCGGCTCACTCTGTCCCCCCGCGGCTCGCTCTGTCCCCCCGCGGCTCGCTCTGTCCCCCCGTGGCTCGCTCGGTCCCCCCGCGGCTCGCTCTGTCCCCCCGCGGCTCGCTCTGTCTCCCCGCGGCTCGCTCTGTCTCTCGCGGCTCGCTCGGTCTCCCCGCGGCTGCCTCACTTAAGATGACAGGCTCTTATACCCCCAGCCGCCACAGAACCAGGAGCTAAGCAAACCTCTGTCCTTGTAGATTAGCCGGCTCAGGCATCGGGTTATAGCAGCAGCAAACGGGCAAGAACGCTGCTTTCCCAGCAGTCCTTGGGAAGTGGCCATGCCCTGACGAGCGGCTCTGCTCAGTCCTTGTGTTAGGAGCCACTCAAGCCCTACAAACCACTTGGCAGGAGGCCCCCAGGCTGTTGCCTGCAAAGCTATAGCCACATTTTTTCACAATTTCTCTCCTCTGGGGCCCCGAAATCTCTTTAGCAGGTGGCCCCCTCCTGCCACGCTGTCCCCTGCCAGCGAGCCCCCACAGAGCCGGGTCTCTGGGCTGTGTGGTCAGCACATGCTTCTCACTCCTGATGTGTCCTTGCGGCCGACCTGGAGAGCAGGCTTGGCCTGGAAAGTCCCAGGCAGGCAAAGGGTCTGCAAGGTCTCGAGGTGCACTCGAAGCTGGCACAGTACGCAGTACACACCTCTCCTTACTAACGCGAATCTTCTGAAATTGGCACCAAATTCCAGCTTGGGATAGGTCGTTCGGGGCACAAGCTCACATGCGAACCTGCCCAGCTCAAGGTGCGTCTGTTCCCATCTCATCTGAGCGCTCCAGCGATGGAGCTGTCCTCTTTCCTGGCTGAACCCAGTCTAGGGCTCCAATAGGCATCAAGCAAGGTGGCTCAATACCCACCTACTGCAAAATCAGTTCAGGAAACCTCTCCGAGCTGATGAGGTGACATGGTGTTAGACACAGGGACAGGACCGACCCTGAGCCACAGAACACCTCAGCCACGCCCCCGGGCCCACCTGAGGGGAGAAGCCCCTCCAACCCCGCGCCCTCTGTGCACACAGGACCCCTGCCCAGAGGGGTTGCCAGGCCCTTAGCTGGCAGCGCCTGGAGAACCAGAGCTGCAGGCACAAATCAGCAAGTGCCGGGACGGTGGGGGGATTTGCCAGTCCTGAACCAAAACAGCACCCATCCCCTCTCCCCCACCTCCGCTCCAGGAAGAGGTCAGTCCTCACGCTGCCTGTGTGGCTTTACGCCCCAGCTGCCCGTGACTCCTGGAGTGGCACGGTCCACGTGTGCTGCGTGAGGAACACTCTCTTTCTGGAAGCGTCCCGTGTATGCTCTGGCCGGAGAGCCAGGGGGACGCATTGTGCGGCTGTTTCCCAGGGCGTGGCGCGGCTGCCCGCAGCCCTGCGGTGGCTGGGAGCGGTGGTACTTGCCCGGTTGACGGGTTCATGATGCAGCCGCCTTTGTCAGCTGCCGTCCTGCAGCTGCAGCCCCGCTCCAGCGTGTCGTGGTTCATCCCGAAGTTGTGGCCCAGCTCGTGTGCCAGGGTCACGGCCGCACCAACCGGGCTGTCTGAATGGTCCTCGAAGGAAACACAAGAGACAGACATAAAGCTCACATCTCCTCGCCGTCTTGCTCTCCCAGACCTGTCCGGTCACTGCCCCTTCATTAACACCATTTGACTTAGTCCAGGTCCCTCTAAGGGGTGGGTGTGGAGCCCAGTATTCAAATTAAACGCAGAGGTAGAACTTGGCACATTTCAGTGGGCGGTCCCTGATGGTGCAAGTATGCAGCAGGATTCTACAGGTGCACAACCATGGCGGCCACTGCCATCTACCATGTGGCCTCACTTCCCCACCAAACCCAGTCCCGGGTGGGGCTGCCCTGCAAAACAGGAAGTGGGGCCACTCTGTCGTGAGTAACGGATGTGCCACCTTGTCCTTGAGTGAGAAGATGCAGAGCTGACCATGGAAGCGTGCTCGGTGGCCTCCTACATCCATCAGAGCACCTGTCAGCGAGCAGGCCTCTGGACAGTCATGGTGACTCACACTGAACGCTGCCCGCATGGAGGAGTCTGAAGACCAGAGCTGCGATCCAGTTAGGTCGCACCCTTGCTGGCCGTCCTGTGGTTAGGATGGGCACTGCTTGGCCTCTGCTCACTTAGTGTGGCGCTTGGATGGCTGGGCTCAAATAGACACTGGAAGTTAACTGAAGATACATTTATGGGGCTGCATTGTGGCATAGCGGGTTAAGCCACAGCCTGCAGGCATCCCCTATGAGCACCGGTTCAATTCCCGGCTGCTCCACTTCAGATCCAGCTCCCTGCTAATGGCCTGGACAAGCAGGGGAAGATGCCCCAAGTGCTTGGGCCCCTGCCACCCCTGTGGAAGCACTGGCTGGAATTCCAGGTTTCTGGTTTAAGGTTGGCCCATCCCTGGCTGTTGCAACATTCTGGGGAGTGAACCAGCAGATGGAAGATCTCTCTCTCCCTCTGTCTCTCTCTCTTTCTCTCTCTCTGTCTCTCTCTACCCCCACCACACTTCTCTGTCACTCTACCTTTTGAATAAATAAACAAATTGTAAAAAAAGATATATTTATTTAACTGTAACAACTAATTTATTAGTGAACATGATTTCCAGAAACTGTGCCCATGAATGGTGCTTCTGACAAGGTCTACACCGCACGGAGTGAGGGCTGCACCTCCTTGGACCCTGATCTGTGCCACCCAAGAGGGAGACAAGTTGTTTCCACGAGGCTCCAGGCAAGCAGCACAACATTGCCTCTTGGAGAAAACATCGCTTCTGATAGAGACAGCTGTCCCGAGGCCCCTGCAGAGAGACCGCTCAGGTGACTTTCCAGGTCTGCGGGTGGCGTCTGTGCCTGCAGCCCTGAGTCTAAGGCAGGTCCGGGAAGCCAGTTATTCCCAGACTAGCTGAATTTCCTAATCGGTGGTCACTTGGTTTGGATGCTGTTTCCTGTTGTAGGAAGCTTCAGGAATACCTTTCAGGAGAGACTGCAGTCAGCCTGGGAATGCAGCCTGGGAATGCAACAAAATGCAAGGAATTCACCCTGAAAAATACTCCACTTCCGTTTCTCTGTGTCACTGAAAGTCTCAGTTTTGTTTCTAACTGCCAAGTTGTTCTACATTCTTTCATGCATAAGTGATTATGAACAGAATGTCTCTTAGGAGACTCTGATAAAACAGCTTACACTTGTAATGAGGGAAAAAACAGTCTCTCTGTTTCTCCCCCAACCAAGACTGTGGTAGGCCGGCTAGATACCGAGCCATGGCTCTAAATTACTCAACAACTTACCCCATACTGAAAAATAGAGGGAAGGTACTAAGAAGCATCTGTCTAACTTTATGAAGATTCTAACTTCCTTCCTCCCAGCCGGCGAGCGCCGGAAGGAGGCGTGCCCGCAGGAGTCTAACGGCAGAGACCCGCAGGAGAATGCTGGGCGGGATCTGGTCAGGATGCCCACCTGGAGAATTTCAGAGGAATTAGAGACGCTGTGGTGTTTTCATCCCACTGGGTGCTTCTCTGTTCTCTCTTACAAGATTTATTTATTTATTTGAAAGGCAGAGTGAGTGAAAGAGAGAGAGAGAGAGAGATATTCCATCTGCTGATTCACTCCCCAAATGGTCTCAATGGTCAGGGCTGGACAAGGTCAAAACCAAGAGCCTGGAACTCCATCTGGGTCTCCCATGTGGGTGGCAGGGGCCCAAAAACTTGGCCCATCATCATTTGCTTTTCCAGGCCATAGCAGTGAGCTGGACTGGAACTGGAGCAGCCAGGGCGTGAACCGATACTCCAATATGGGATGCTGGTGGTGCACGGGGAGGCCTAACCTGCTGCACCACAACGCCGGCCCCATGGTCCTCCTCTCTGTGGCTACACAAGCAGTGTGTCTGAGGGTGACACCAGCTACTGAAAAACGGGTCAAAGCATATTTCCTGATAATTTGGTCTTGGCCTGATTCTTTTTGCATCACACACACTTGGCTTATATCTTTCACATTTATTTTCAAATATGAGGGTTCATAGAAAAATGGAATTAAAAGATAAGTTTATTTTGGTACAAAAATTGGAAATCCATGCTTTTTTTTCCTAATCAATGCATTTTCTGTGAAATTTTTGATGACCCTTCATAGTTCTGAGAGAAAGAAGGAATGTTGACAAAATGCTTACATGGAAACAGAGGAAGGGAGGCAAGCCCAGGGAAGACACTCACCACACCAGACGGCTTGCAGGAAGATGCTAAACAGCACTGCACAGTGGCCAAACCTGCCATGCCTACGACGTCTCCATCCTCAGCTCGAAGATTGACTGATGCCAATTTTAATCGGCAAAGTTGATAGCAACTGATCATGGAACCATGATACAGAAAACTAATTCCCACCTACAACTCTGTAGGCTGCCCCATGAAAATACGGTTGGGATCTGCCTTGAAATTAAGCTGGCGGCCACTGAACCAGACTCTCCAAAGACTTCCATGGTAGAGACCACATTCTGGGCTTCCCGGCTCAAAGAAATCAGAGAGTAACCGGTTCAAGCCGGAAATCCAGTGGGGAAGGAGGGTCAGTCCTTCCAGGCAGGCAGCCTTATGGCCAGGGTTTGCCTCTGTCAAATCCCAGCCTGCGCACCCAGAGAAGAGGAATGTGTGTGTGTGTGTGTGTGTGTGCACGCGTGCGTGTGTGTGCATTCTCAAGAAGATCGGATAGGCAGAGCCCAAGTCCTTGTATCTTTTAATACGACTGGACATTAATCAACCTTCCATTTGAAGAGTTTCTTGGAAGGACAATGTTCCGTTCCTTTAACGGAGATGGAGCGATGGTTCTCAACGAGACTCCGTGCCTGAGGGCTGGGGTACAGGGACAGCAGAGGTGAGAGCCCCTCCCTGAAAGACGTGGTGGGGAACAGCACAAGACCCCATTGGACAGGCCCTCAAAGCTCTTAAGTCTACCCGAAGGCCAAATCGTCTTCCATCTCATTTCCTTCTGCAAGCATACACAGCCCGTGTAGGACAATATCATCCCTGCAAAGCAGGAGCCGAGGACCCTGCCTTCCCAGCGAAAGGTTATTATAAAGCAGGCTGTGCACAGGCAGAAGGTATGTAAAGCATCTGCAGTGGCAAATAGTTAAAAACCTCAGACTTGTGGCTGCTGGGCCTGCAGGCAGAAAACCATGCGAGCGGCCGCAGTTGGTGACACCACAGCCGGTTCCAGAAGCTGAGCAAAGGTAGGACCCCAGTACCCTGGCTCACCCCACGCTGGGGCATTGCTGGGTTAGGAGGCGATGGCCCCGGGGCCCAGTGCACAGCGGTTCCCATAGGAGCTGCACACGTGCCTCACTGAGCTGCTGGTTCACACCCACCTTTCCTGTGTGCAGTCTGGGTTTTAGTCACAGTCCTAAAAATATCGAGGGATATATAGGGTCATAAACATAGCTAGTGCAAGAGCAGAGTGAAATCTAAAATGAGCTAAGGGGGAGCAGGCATTTGGCCCACATCAGACAGAGTAACTGAGTTAGATTCCTGGCTCCAGCTCTTGACCCCAGCACCTTGCTAATGTGCACCCTGGGAGATAGCTCAAGTGGCCATGTTCCTGCCACCCACGTGGGAGACCTGCACTAGTTTCCACTTCTTGGCTTCTTCTCTAGCCTAGTTCCGACCACTGCGGGTAGCTGGCGAGTGCCACACTGGATAGGAGCATGCTCCACGCCCCCCTTTCTTGGTACTGCTCCCACCCCTATAAAAATTTTGAGAAAAAAAAAGAACACAAGAGGAACTAACTTCACAAAGTCTGATCAGAGTAGTGGCTTCCTGGGGAATCATTAGTGAGGGGCACAAGCTCCCCGGCGCCCTTGGCTTACCATGACCACTCCTCCAGACTGCTCCGCGGTGCACATGCTCATGATGGGTGCCATGCCGATGGTGGTCCCTTGGAAATAAACCCCACTAGGAAACAAAAGAAAGGGCTTTCTTTAATCTAATGTAGAATGCAGGCATTTTCTAGTGTCTGCAATTCTGTAGGATATGTAAAAATGGAAACGGCGGTATGAGAGTACGTGTGCATGTGATTTTCATCTTTTCTCCTTAAATTGTACTTCTCCCGTCGTATCACAGGCCCACGTCCTTGTGGAGCTTGGCTGTGCAGGCGGCCATCACCACGGGGTTGTATTCGCCAGCTGCGTCCTGCCTGCTTCCTCACAGAGCGAGGGCACCTGCTGATGGCTGAACGCTATCAGACTCTGTAATAAAGGGGGGCATTCGATGGTTTCCCAGGTTTTCTGTCGTAGCTGAGTTTTGCTTGCCTGTGTGACCCATTACAGTTCTGCCAGAAACCTAAACTCTTAGCAAACGTCCGGCTAATACAGCTTGCAAAATTGAAATCAGCAGAAAAAGGATTGATCCCTGGAGCCAGTGTAGAATCAGTAAACACCCACAATGCCTCAGCACCCACGGAGAAGCTTCCAGAAGGGGCCCTGTGGCTGTGGTGCAGGCCTCCCACCTGGGATCATAACCTGGGCACCCATTAAAACACTCCAGAGGCCTGTTTGGTGCAAGTCTCTTAATTCCAACTCATGCACTCAAAATGCAACACTGTGGCCAGCGCCACGGCTCACTAGGCTAATCCTCTGCCTGTGGTGCCGACGCCCCCCCCCCCCTTTCTAGTCCCAGTTGCCCCTCTTCCAGTCCAGCTCTCTGCTGTGGCCCAGGAGTGCAGTGGAGGATGGCCCAAGTGCTTGGGCCCTGCACCCCATGGGAGACCAGGAGGAAGCACCTGGCTCCTGCCTTTGGATTGGCGCAGTGTGCTGGCTGCTACGCACCGGCCATGGTGGCGGCCACTTGGGGGGTGAACCAACAGAAAAAGGAAGACCTTTCTCTCTGTCTCACTGTCTAACTCTGCCTGTCAAAAAAAAAAAAAAAAAAGTAACATTGTATCTGTTGAACTCCCTTTAAGGGACTAAAGTGACCTATTCATCCTATCTTGACCATGCAATGAACACATAATGCTTATTTCTTTTGAAAAGCTGGATATTAGTCATGGCCAATTGAACAGAGTTAGTAAGTATATAAAAGCCCCTTCCTCTCTCCCTCCCTCCCCTCCTTCACATCCACCCATCCATCCATCCATCCGCCTGTCCATCCATCTATTCTATTATAATCATCCCTTGGTAGCCATGAAAGATTGGCTCTAGGAGCCCATCCAAATACCAAAATCTGTGGGTGGCCAAGTCCCTTGTATAAGATGGCATTGCACCTGCACAGAACCTATGCATATCCTCCCATGCGCTTTAAGTCATCTCTGGGTTATAACACCTAACACAATGGATATGCTATCTAAAAAGCTATTGTACTATATTGCTTAGGGAATAATGAGAAGAAAAATGTCTGTAGGAACGAGCACTGTGGCACAGGGGGCTAACCTGATGCTTGGGACAGCTGCACCCCATATCGAAGTGACCGGTAGGAGACCTGGCTGCTGTGCTCTCTGGTTCAGCTTCCCGCAAACATGTGGGCGACCTGGATGGAGTTTCTGGTTCCTGGCTTTGGGTTGGCCTTGCCCTTGCTGTATTGGGCTTTGGGGTAGAGGATGGAAGATCTTTCTCTCTCCCTATCTCTCTCTCTGTCACGCTCCCTTTCAAAGAAAATAAATAGATCTTTATTTAAAAAAAAAAAAAAACACCTGTACATGTTTAGTATCCGCACATTTTTTCTTCTGAGTATTTTCAGACCAAGCTTGGTTGAAACTATGGATGGAGGACCCTTTACACCAGGGTCAAGTGCATCCTCGCCTCCACAGCAGGATGCCAGCCTCTCTCCCTGCAGTGCAGAGGCCAGAGGAACTGATATATCACACACGCACGTAAGACGCTAATGTACTTCCAGATGTTCAGGTTGGATAAACTCCATTTGGGGAAAAAAAAAAAAGAAAACAAAACACTATGGCTCAAAATCCATGAATCCACGTCAAGTAGCTCAGGACTGATCAAGGCATAACCAACGAAGCCACCAGCAGAACTGGCTTCCACTCCCACGGACGTTCCACAGGGCAGGTCTGGTCTGCCCGAGAGAAGCAGCTCTGTCTCCAAGGCTTGCATTTCAGCAGAAGAAGCCACACGCAAACAAAAGAAAAATGGCATCAGCGGTCTAATGATTTACATAAAGATGTCACTTCTGTAAATATCTATTTCACACCAATTTAGATTATTATAAGACGGTCTCTTTTTAATAGGCTTATCTTTTAATTAGAGCTTCCATAACTTTTCCCCCATTTTATTTAAAAGGGAGAGAGAGAGAAAGAACTCTTCCAGCTGCTGGGTTTATTCCTCAAATTCCTGCAACAGCCAGGGTTGGACCAGGTTGAACCCCAAAGCCCAGAATTGAATCGAGGTCTCCCGCACGGCTGACAGGTTCCCAAATACTCGAGCCACCATCAGCTTCCTCCTCAGTGCGTGTATTAGCAGGAAGCCGCACGGGAAGAGGACGCAGAACTCAAACAGGCGTTCTGATGCGAAACGGCACTGACCCAAGCAGCATCTTAACGGCTGTGCCAATGTTTTCTTTTAAACAGAACGGTATCTGTGCCGTCTTACCAACGTACTGTTATGTTTGAGCTATGCTTCCCTTCTTCCTATTGTTCATGACACTGACGATTCTGTGAAATTTTCGCTTTTCTTGCTATCTTCTCCCAGCAGACCGGGGTCTCCTGAGAGCAAGGAGGTTTACAATGTTGGTTCCTAACAGGTGCGCAACACACACTGACTTGAAGAAGGAACACAAAGTTAACACATTGCTCTAAGGGCACGGTCTGATCTAGAACACTGAAGAGTAGCACCTGGAATAGGCAGAGGCGGAGAGCTCTCTTCTCCAAGCATCTGACGCTATTCAGCCACATGTCTGTCTTTGTACATTGTGTGAACAGTGTTTTTCATTAATGAAAGGAAATGAGCCTTTAGAAAACAGCCTACTCAGGACGACTTTATATGAAGATGAACACCAGAAGACTTGGCAGACCGGGAGAGCCCAGGTGAGGGAAGGAGGCGGGACTTCTTAGAGGTGTGGGTTTCCTGACAGATCTGCCCTTGTAGGAGGGTGTCTGCCTCACTGATGGACTGAGAAGGCCCCTTGGACAGCCGGGTGCTCGGCAGCAGGGGGCACAGGTTGAGGGGGGGGGCTGTGCAGGTGGAGCTGAACGGGGAGGGGCGGGGCTGACACCAGTCCTTCAGGCATGGGCAGGGGCGGGACGCCCACCTGATGAGCTGCGCGTTGTCGTGGGATTTGCGAGGCAAAAGCTTCATCTTCCTCCAGTCCAGGAACTCGTGCAGGCTGGTGAACGGGTCCTGGCTTATGGAGCATTTGTCAATGTCATTCCACACCTCCACGCCCACCAGCACGACTCGGATGTTCAGCGGCCTGTAAAACTGAGGGAGAGAGACGGCCTCAGGGAGGCGCGCTGACCAGGACTTGAAACGAAAACCAGAACAGAGTTCCGGTGTCTGGGTCAGAAAGTCGACTCCGTGCCCCTTGGTTCCTGCGGCCGTAGAATTTAATATTTGCAGTGCTGAGGCACAGGGCTGTGCTAACCGGCTTCTCCACTGGTGACCCATCCGATGCTAACACTATTAGCCTTTTTATTGTCTGCCTGGATTGGGATGACAGCACACATTTCAACTGATTTATCGGTGATTTAAAACGTGCATATCAACGTCTGTTACAGCTAAAGGCTGCGGCTAATATCCACCGCAGGACAAACAATGAGTGAATTAGGATCTGTCAGACGCTGCTGCCAAGGACAATAATTGGTTCATTTGAGGCAAAACGCTCTGCCCATGAGTTACTGAAAACGAATCCGTATTAATTTTTGAGCAAAGGCTCAGCCTTGGCTGCCACTCTGAGATTCTGTCACCTACAATCACCCTGGAAGGTTTTAATTAACTGAGCAGGTGTCTAGCTGGGAGAACAATAAAGAACAATGATATTGCCTCCTTCAGCAACTGTCATGGCGACGCTCTTACCCCCCCCAGCAGTCAGCGCACTGGGCCTGTGCTGGGGAGACCTCTTCAACCCAGCTCCTGCATGGGGGCGTGAGGTGATGCCGCAGGCACACCCACCCCACGCACGTCATCTCATTCCCCTTCTGTCCCTCCCCCTTATGTGTCCCTGGCTCCCACCTACAGCCTATTCTGCCCAGGGGACAGTTCTGACTCCCAGGAGCCTGAGCAGGATGAGCGGTCTCCGTGCCGCTGTCCCCACAAGCACCCGTAGTCAGGAAGGTGACTGGCTGCTCGCAGTGGAGGAGCCGAGGACCTGGGGACATCTGGCTGTAAGATGCTGCAGTGCCCGCGACGGGCGAGGCAGCATGCGGTGCAGTCTCCCTCTACGAGAACCCAGACGCCAAGGTGAGAACTGCAGCCGGTGAGCAGCCAAGACCAAGCGCCAGACGTGAGCAGGCCTACTCTTGGTTGCTGGAAGCATCTGGCCGTTGAGTAACAAAAACTCTTCCTTTGAGAGTGCAGCACCATTCCGACGTGGTGAGCCAAAGCGCGTGACGTTCCCTAGACGCGAACGTCTGAGCTAGGATTCCAACCCACGGCAGGCGGGTTCGTCTTCCCCTTGCTGGCCCCACAGTCACCTGGCGAGCAGTGGGCTGGCAAAAGAGCTGATGACTGCAAACTACCTCGCGGCACGGTCGGACTTGGTATCAGACAATTACAGCCGTGACCTTGCTGAGTTACTCGGAACATTCCATGACCAAAATGCCGCTCCACTGTCTGCTTCTGATCCAGAGCTGCTTGCCCCGTGCTTCCTGCTTGCAAGTTCGCAGCCACATTAAGTCCCTGGACTGCTCTGGGCCTCTCCACGCGCGTGATTGGCTGCAGCCTTGGGGAGGTGACGTTGTCAGCTGCATCGTGTACAGAGGTGACAGGGGTGACAATCAGGGCCCCTCTGCCCATGTCAGCACCAGCCTGCTGAGAGGCGGCCTCAGGGTCAGATCCCCTGCCGGGCTTCAGGGCTGTCACCGTGAAGGGACACGAGGTTGGCCAGCCAGGAGCACCGTTTGGAAGCAGGGACCAGCCTGCCTGCTCACTTATCTCCCAGCTTTTCATAGTAATGCCGGGCTCTCTAACCACATCCTCACAACAGGCTTCACACCTAGAGTGTAACACACAATGTCCCCTCTCCAAAAGGAGTGCCACCGCCAACTGTGACATGTGCTGAGCTTATCTCCAGTCATCAGCCACCACCCCTCCACTGCCTGCTCTGCATGCCCTGGCGACCGACCAGTCCCTTTTGGTTTGTCCTAATAACACCGCTGTGTCCTGGGCATGGTGCTAAGGGGCTCCTATGCCGTTGCTCAGCCCTCCAAACAACTCTGAGTTCAGAACTATTCCTAGTCTCCTTGAGGCTTGGAGAGCCTGGTTATGTTCTCCAGGCCACAGCAGCATGGCTGCGTCTGGGCACAGGCACGCTGATCTAGTGATGGTACCACTCCCGGGCCAGAGCTGAGCCCCTCCCACAAGGGCCAACTGTGACCTCAGTCCTGGAGAGAAGTACCCGGTCCTGTGAAGGACCCAGAGAGCGTGGCAGCTGCCTTCCTGGCTTAGGAGTCCCGGCCTGGACGTGGACACAGCTGCAGGCCCAGCCGAATGAATCCCCCTATTTCCGTAAGCAGCCCGTATTTTCCCAGCTCCTGCCGGGGACTGGGCTTGGCACCAGCAGGGGATCAAAGACTGGGGACCTTTGTCCTTGCTCTTGCCCTGCAGGTGACCAGGATACCTCCGCATTACTCCAGGGAATTCCGACCCAAGCAATGGCTCAAACAGGAAATACTGCCCTGGAGGGATTCAGGAAGACTTTCTGGAAGATGTGGATCTGAAATGAGGGGTGGAATCCCCTGGAGTCCGGAGGGAAGTGCCTCCTTCAGGACACACCCAGGGGAGGACAGGAGATGGATGTGGGGGCGGACACACCCAGGGGAGGACGGGAGGTGGACACGGGGGCGGAAACACCCAGGGGAGGACAGGAGATGGACACGGGGAGGGACACACCCAGGGGAGGACGGGAGATGGATGTGGGGGCGGACACACCCAGGGGAGGACGGGAGATGGACATGGGGGTGGACACACCCAGGGGAGGACGGGAGATGGACACGGGGAGGGACACACCCAGGGGAGGACAGGAGATGGACACGGGGGTGGACACACCCAGGGGAGGACAGGAGATGGACACGGGGAGGGACACACCCAGGGGAGGACAGGAGATGGACACGGGGAGGGACACACCCAGGGGAGGACAGGAGATGGACACGGGGGTGGACACACCCAGGGGAGGACAGGAGACGGACACAGGGAGGGACATACCCAGGGGAGGATAGGAGATGGACACGGGGAGGGACACACCCAGGGGAGGACAGGAGATGGACACGGGGAGGGACACACCCAGGGGAGGACAGGAGATGGACACGGGGGTGGACACACCCAGGGGAGGACAGGAGATGGACATGGGGAGGGGCACACCCAGGGGAGGACAGGAGATGGACACGGGGAGGGACACACCCGGGGGGGAGGACAGGAGATGGACACAGGGGTGGACACAACCAGGGGAAGACAGGAGACGGACATGGGGAGGGGCACACCCAGGGGAAGACAGGAGACGGACGTGGGGACGGGCACACCCAGGGGAGGACAGGAGATGGACACAGGGGTGGACACACCCAGGGAAATTAGTGCCCAGGAGATGAGTGCTTTTAGAAGGATGTCAGCGGGGTTCAACTTGCAAGAATTGATAGCTGGTGCTGGGTTCTTTTTATTATTTAGTTAACTATTTATCTGAGAGGCAGAGATACAGATTGAGACACAGAGGGGAGACAGCGCCCATCTACCAGTGGACAGCGTCCATCCCAAATGCCTGCAGCAGCCAGGGCTGGCCCGGGCGGACGCCAGGAGCTGACAGCACAATCCAAGTCTCCTCCGTGGGTGGCGGTGACCCAACCCCTGTAGCCACGGCTGCTGCTTCCCAGTGTCTGCGTGAACAGGAAGCCGAAGTCGGGAGCTGCAGCCAGGCTGCAAAACCAGGCACACGGCTGGGGACGAGGGCATCTTAGCTGACGGGGCCAAAGCTGACCCAGGGCTAGGCGTTTAATGAGCCAGGATGGACTGGAGCGAAAGCTTAGAGATGGAGCTCTTGGAACCTCCGCCTTCACGGGCAATGCTCTGCGGCTCCTGGGGGAATCGAACCAGGACTTGGGAAAGCGTCTCTGAATTTGGCCGAGTGTCAGACACACGTTCCTGGTTCTGCTTGTGGGGGAGGCGGGGGCTTTCCTGATCATTTCAGAGTGTCCCCTTTGTCACTAATCACTTCTCTGTCTTCTACCCAGGGAGGTTCTTCCTCTTCGAGTCAGCACAGCCAAGCGCTTATTAATTCAGAATGGCCCAGGAGAGCCAAGATGTCAGCAAATGAGGACGTGGCCACCAGGACAGTCACTGTTTTCTGGCCTGAGACACTCCCACGGGTAGAATTGCAAAACTGCCATTTGGAACACTTAAGAGAGCCAAGGGTCACCGGTCACCAGACGTGGCAGCAGGGACTCCTAAGGGCCTGGGCAGCCCCCCAGGGTCTTGGGGGTCTGCTGGGGGCTGACAGGGTCGTCCGGGCTGGATGTGTCAGAAACATGAGAACAGCCACTCTGGAAACGTCACGGAGCCCACCAGCATTTGTCTCTACACGGCATTCTTTAATTACCAGTGCAAGTTATTAATAAGCCCCCAGTTGCTCGTTTTTGGTTTTGCAAACTGAAGCAAGGGATGACCCAGAATAACACGTAAATAAACAATCGCAGAGAGACAATAGCAGCACTTAAACAAATGATGTTTCAGGGGCTGGCGCTGTGACGTAGCGGGTTAAGTCTCTTCCTGCAGTGCCTGCATCCCACAGTGGGCACTGGTTCGAGTCCCGGCTGCTCCAGTTCCAATCCAGCTCCCTGCTATGGCTTGGGAAAGCAGCAGAAGATGGCCCAAGTCCCTGGGCCCCTGCACCCACGAGGGAGACATGGATGAAGCTCCTGGCTCCTGGCTTTAACCTGGCCCAGCCCTAACCATTGCGGCCATTTGGGGAATGAACCAGCAGATGGAAGATCGATCTCTCTCTCTCTCTCTCTCTCTCCCTTTCAAATAAAATAAATAAATCTTTTTAAAAAATGGTGTTCCAGCCATTTCCAGTCTGAGTTTAATATGGTTCATTGTCCCTTTTATTTCTGGGACCTGAGATGAACTTGCATTCTCTACTTCTGTGCCATTGGAGGACAGGCAGAGACCTGCCGGGCAACTGACCCCCCGGCCCACCGGGCAGCCAAGGCTCTAGCACCCAAATCTGCCCGTGTCTCTGGTAGTCAGGGTGTCTCAGTCCCGCCTGACACTGGAATCATAAGGCGGCCCTGGAATCTCCTGTGCCCAGGCCCCACCCAGGCCAATCAAATCAGAATCCCTGGGCTGGGTTGGCATCGAGGCACAGTGAGCTAAGCTGTCGCCCGCAGCCGGGCATCTGCTTCCAATCCAGATCCTGTGCCTGGGAGAGCAGCAGGCAGTGGCCAAGTGCACGGGCCTCTGCCAGTCACATGGGAGCCCAGATGGAGCTCCAGGCTCCGGCCTTTGGTCTGGAGCAGCCCCATTTGTGGAAAGAACCAGTGGACGGAAGGTATCTTTCTTTCTCTCACTCTCCCCTTCAAATGAATAAATAATACCTTTAAAAAAAAAGAATCCCTGGGCAGAGACTTGAGAATTGGTTTTTAAAAATCATCATTTAAATCAGGGGTGGGGAACCATTTTTTCTGCCAAGGGTCGTTTGGATATTTATAACATCATCTGTGGACCATACAAAATTATCAACGTAAAAATTAGCCTGCTGTAGATTTATTGAATTTCAGGTCTCGCCTGCTGGGCCATGCCAGATGATTTCACAGGCCGTGTATGGACCATGGGCCAGATGTTTCCCATCCCTGATTTAAGCAAACAAACAAGCAAAGACCCCAGGGGATTCTGATGCCTGGACAGAGATGCACCTCTCACTCCGCCATCACCCTTGATCCGCCCCGACCCGCCCTTCACCTGCCTGTTCCAGGAGAACTGGCCCTGTGCCCGCAGTCTTCTGTGTCCACTTGACTTGGGGACACAGCTTAATGCTTCAGCAAGCAAGGCGTGCCTGGGGAACGGCGTCCAGGGTACCGGGGGCCATCTGTGTTCATCCGACTTTCACGGAGTTCCAGGCAGCCGGAGCCTCTCCCTGAGTGCCAAGCCCTGATCTACACCTGCTCAGAGTGCCTGGTGAAACCCCTCCTACTCCAGTTCCTTCGGGGTGGCAGGCAGCATCTTCCAGCCACCCTGCAGCATGAACCTCACGGCCGTTGGGACTTTCACTGTCTCTCATCCTCTGCTTCTGTCTGGCACAGGGTCCTGGACTCACGGAAGGTGAGCAGATCCGGGACAAGGGCCCCAGTGGGGTTAGAAGGCTCATTTCTGGGTCTGACCTCGCAAGCGCAGCTCCTTCTGCTATATACGGGAAAAACCCCACCTGCGCGAGCTCTCACAGCCGAGCTTACGGTACCTGCTAAAAACACTTCCCAGTAGCCCCGTCCCTTTAAATGCCTCTAAATTCTCATCTTTGCCGCATCCCCGCTCCCACTGCCCTGGGTCCAGCTTTCTCATTTCTCTGCAGCAGGCTCCTAGCAGCCCCCTTTCTTTGGTTGCTCCATCGTCCGCGCGAGCTGCAGGGATGTCTCTGAGGAGTCCTGAGCGTCCCTGCCCTGCTCAGAAGACAGTCCCCTGGCTCTCCAGCGACTGCTCAGCAGAGCCAAGATGCCTCTGGAGGGCACGGGGGGCCCGGGGCAGCCTCATCTCTTCCTGCCCTCCCTGCATGTGCGTGTACTCACCCTCAAACATGAGCATGTACACACGTGCACGGGGACACACATGCACTGACTGCGCCACATGCACTGGCTGCACATGCAGGACACACAGACACGTGTGCATGCGTTCATGCGAGGATATGAGCACATGTGCACACACGCACACGCAGCACAGGTGTGCATGCATACATGAACACGTGTATGTGCACAAGGACACAATGCATTGGACACACGTCCATGCATTCAACCATAAACATGAGCATGTGTGAACACACGCAGTGCACATACATACGTGTGCATGTATTCACATGTGAACACAAGCATGTGTAGCATACAAATACACATGCAGTCATGAATTTTATGTCCACATATAGGAACATACATGTATGCAGGTGGACACACACACACACTCCCTTCTGTCATAAGAAGCTACTGGCCACATCCGGATTTGTGGGGAGCGAGCCAAGGCCTCTCCTGCTCTCTGCTGGTGAGACTGCACTCACCTCCCAGGGCTCCCTCCCTGCAAAGCCTCCCTGATCCCCGGACGGAGTAAGGGTCCTCCCCTGCTTCCCCACAGCCCCCCGCTCAGAGCACTGATCTAGTTCCTGCTCCCCTCGGAAGGGAGGGACCACAACGGCTTCATCCTGAATTCTGGACGCGCACTGCTGGGACGGTGCAGAAGGCCCATGGAACCGGAGGTGAATTTGCCTCCATTTTTCTGTATACATAGAAAACTCTGCTGGACTACGACAGGATTGCCAGAAACACGGCTCCGGCACAGCTCCCTCGCAAACACTCTGTGCACAACGTGGCCGCTTCAGAGGTCCCTGCTGTGAAAGGCCCAGCAAGGACCTGGTCCTTCATTCTTCTTACGCTGCTCCCCTGCCCCTTTTCCCTCCCCAGGCAGGAGGCCCAGTGCTGCTGCAAAGCTGTGGTGGCTCTGGGACAGTGGTGGCCAGCCACGCTGCCCCTGAGAATTACAAGGGAGCTCTGAACAAGCTGATGACTGACTCCACCCACCGCCGAGGCACACGGGCACCAATGCCGCTGAGAGCTCCCCTGGCACGCTGGATGCACCCTGCGGGGGCTCTGGGATCTAACTGCGGAGTCCAACGTCCCCTCAGACCGGAACTCTGTTCAGAAGGGAGCCGGGAGCAAGCTGTGTCCCCCAGGCCACTGCAGTCCAGAAGCTGCCCTGGACCAGGGAATCACAAGCTCAGAGGACAGCCGGCCCCGAGTTCCAATCCAGCACCCAGAGGTCTCCCTGCTGTCAGTGAGGTGTGCCTCGTCCTCCCGACCTCACCTCCAAACACTCTGAGTGATTTCATTGCTCCAAAAAGAGCTTACCTTGTCAACGTGGTTAGCGATCTCTATTAATCGCTGCTTAACTTTCTCCAGATCTTTTCCTTGTCTCTGAAACTTAACAATTCCAAATGTCAGCATTAATAATGACAAGAACATCAATCAACCTCAACATCCCAGGTGCTGGAAACGTGCGGTCCGGGGCTCTCACACAAGCCCCAGGGACACGCGCGCGTGGTTCTCTGTGAAGTGAGCGTGCAGCCAGCGGGGCGCTCTCCCCGCCTGGGGACTCCAGCAACTTCGCCCATGCCAAGGACTCCAAGGGAGCAACTGGTGTGCTTCTCCCAGCCTCGTCCATGGCGGAGGCGGGGACACGTTTTGGCAAAGAGAAAACGGGCGAGAGGGAAGTCCAAAGCCGTTTCTCATATCATCAACTTGACTTTAACTGTGGAGAAATTTTCTTTATACTTGTTTTTAAGAATCAGATAGCCAAAGGAACACAAGTCCGTGGCAACATGTCAAAGAGCCGGAGGAGAATGGATAGTGTTACTGAATTCCCCATCGTCTCCTCTGATCGCAACTTCCAGAATGGGAGGAGGTCTTGGAGAAATTACCAAGCCATTGCCTTCACGGGTGTTGAACAGATCTACAAAAGGATGTTACTTAATTCACAATATGTCAATGAAGCACTGACTACATACAGAGAAGATAAATTATTTGAAAGAAAAAAAATAGAACTAACGTGGTATCAGGCCCCACCACAGAGGGAAGGGTTGTTTTTGTGTCTACAGTTTTTCTTTTTCATTCACTCACTTTGGTTTAAGAAGTAGTAAACATTTAAAAAGCTGAACGTTCCCCCAAACATTCTGGCATAAAATCTAGAGCCACGCCCGCAGTTCCCGGAGGTGAGCTCCTGTTCGGAGAGCAAAGCTACCCAGCAACACTGGCTTTTGGTTTTTTTATTTTCTCCTTCTGAAGAATTTGCTTTCCTTTCACAATAATAGACAACATTTTGACATTTTCTGTCTTATAAAATCAGAAAGCCACTCTCTCCGTGAGTTCTTCCCAGCGCGTTTAAGCGCACGTAGAAGCCAGGGCTCATTAAAGCAAGCTAAACATTCCCACCACCGCTTTTTAAAAAAAGCCACTCTGCTGGGAAATTCCAAAGCTCTCACCTCTCGGTTGTCTGCCACGATGACCAGCTCCACGTACTTGGTCGTCCGGAGCGTCTCTCTTTTATGCTGCCGAAAGTGAACACGAGGTTAACTCCTGTCTGGGCCTCCCAGAGCCCTGTCACCGAGTGTCAATCCCGCCACATGAAGCCAAGCGTCTGTCCCCGGCGGCCCGGGGCTGCTGGGCCTGCCTTCCATCTGGAAGTTGGCCCCTGACCCCAGTAATTCCTTCATGAGGCCCCCTCCACTCGAGTGACCCATTTCCATTGCCCGCGGGAAATCCTGCAGGAGCTTAGCTTTGCTGCTGAGCCACCCCTTACAGCAAGAGGAAAAGTCAAGATCCTCATTAAACAAACGAACCCATCAACAAACAAGCCCAGAGCTCTCTCTGGGGCACGGCCAGCCGGCGACGGTCCACGAGAGCCCGCGCGGAGCGCATCTGAAGATCGTTAAAGACGGAACGCAGCGTGTCACAGTGTGGCCGGGGCCCTGGCGCCCCAACCGTACCGTTTAGTGACTTGAGAGAGGGTGCGGGAATACACTGGGAACGGGGACCTCCGGAGCCCGCGCCGGGGAGCCCGCTTCTGGCAGCCGACTGGGGGCTGCGGGCTGCAGGGAGGATCCCAGCCCGGTGATGAACGGAGTGGCTGGGAAAGGGTGTTCAGAGGAAGACGAGGAAGAGACCAAAGGAACAGTGCAGGAGAACAGCCCGGCTCTGCCCCTGCCTCCGGAGAATGGGGCGTCTGCAAGGGGGAAGTGACTGAGAAGGAAATGGGCTGGAGAGAAGATGCTGGCCACCCAGACAGACAGCCCAGGAACTGGGTGCCATTCCGTCCAGCGGCCTCCAAAGGCGTCCACGTGTCCCCCAAAGGCGTCCACGTGTCCCGAGAACTCCCGGGGAAGTCCCAGAGGCACTGTAAGGAGAAATAAAGCCACCATGGCGGGGTGGGCCCCGGAAGCAACCATGAAAAACAAGCGGCAAAGCTCCTATCTGCAGCGCAGGGCGGCAGCAGGGAGGAGTCCCTGGATTCGGTCCTCGCTTTCAGAGCGAGCGGCAGACACACGCTTGACTTTGCAACTTGGCGTGCGTGCGTCTCCCAGGCTCTCTCTGGGACAAAAGCCGCGAGGACGGACGCAGGCGCTGAATCAGGTTTCCAGGCACAGAATCCTGGGGGAAACATCTTTTACCAAACCAAACCCCGCCAGGCCGGGATCCTCCAAACGGATTTTTACAGAACAGTGTTTGTCTTCGGGCCGGTTCACCGCCCGACTGCGCTGAGTCATGAACTGAGGCGTCCCAGAGGAAACCTGGAGCCTGCTGGGGGCGGGGGGCCGAGGCTCCCTGAAAGGCGCACTTGCTCCCACGTCCACGGCGTTGCGAGGGGAAACAGAACTCTGTAAGCTCCGCTGTCAGGATGCTTCGCGGTCCTAACCCTGGACCCACGGGTATACAGGATACCAGTCGCCCCCAGATGTGGAGACCTGGCCCTGTCTCCTCGCCCAAGGCCGAAAGACGTGCACCTCTCTCTCTCTCTGGCTCAGGAATCGCAGATTCACCATGAACAAATCTGGCTAATTATGCAGAAAAACAAATACAGCTCCAGAAATGGAAAACTAAGTGCAACCTCCCATTGAAAAATACAGAGAGGTCTCTGGCTGCTCGGACTGCGCACGCCTGAAATAAACAACCCAGGATCCTTCCAGTTGGCCTCCGATCCTCATTTAGAAAACACACAACTCCAGATAATGCAAACACACACACACAGGCACGAGCTTCCTGTCTCTGCCGGTTCCAGAGCACTCGGAATCTTCCCCTGAATCCGGAGCAGTGCACGTTCAGAGAGAAGCTAACCACAGAATAATAAGGCGGCACGGGGGAGCGGCCGGCTCCCGGCCAGGGGGTCTGCTCTCCGCCGGCGGCCCGCACAGGCAAAGGCTTCGGTTACCCCCACGTGACTTCCACCTAGCCGGGCTGTCCAGCTGTGACAGATGATTATTTTCAATTTGTGATATGGAAACCAATGCTTGAAACTGGCTGCTGGACTGGATTTTCCTTTCTCGGGCTTATGGAACAAGAGCCCGTTCCCAGACAGCAACCGAAGCCGCTGAGAACGGCCCAACGGTTCTGCTTCCAGGGGGAAGCCGAGGCGTGCTCAGAGTGCTGCCGCCAGGAGGCCGCTTCCTGGGCCTCTTAAAGTCATCCCGGCCCAGGTCCCAGCGCAGGGCCGCCGCCCAGCCAGCCTGCAGGGAGGGGCCTGGCGTGGGGGAGCACAGCTGTCGCACTGGGCCAGGCCAGCTGAGACCCGGGTCCTGACACATTCTCCTCACAGTGATTTCCTGACAGGGCAGCCATGCGTCTGCAGCGAGCGAGCCCCATGGCTTCTGCTCTGTGCACCCCCTGGCTCGTGCTGTGTGCACCCCCTGGCTCGTGCTCTGTGCACCCCCTGGCTCAGCTCTGTGCACCCTGTGGTTCGTGCTGTGTTGGATGTTGGGGATGGACCGAAAACCCAAGGTTACTGCCCTGGGGAGGCCCACATTTCCACCTGGGGGTTAGGAGAAGGCTGATGATGCGGTAGCAGAAGCAAAGCCACCTGTGAAACGGACAGACGGGATTCGGAACAAAGATTGGGGGAGGGGTGAAGGGGTTATGTCAGCTGAAGGCTGAGCAGGTACGTGTGGAACACGTGGTGGGAAGAGCATTGCAGCCGGTGGAACAGCAACAGCGGAAGTCCTGATGCTGGGAGGAGCAGGGGAAGAATGGGTGAGCTGAAGACGGGGCCGGGGCCCTGGGGCCACCCTCAGCTAGGGGCGGAATGAGCAGCTCATCTCCTGAGAGCCCTGGGAGCGCTTGAAGGTGAGATTTCTAAACCTCACCCTGGCTGCCAGGGGACTGGAACCTGGGAGAGCAGTGGGGGGCTTCGCCAGGGCCATGCTGTGACAGTGGGTGTGGCAAACACATTCAAGCCAGGTGAGAAGTAGCCAGGCCCCGTCCAACCACAAGAACCAGGACCCAGGGCCCCGGGCCCCTGGCTCGGCAGCTGCAGGACCAGCATCAGAAGTCTGGCTCGTCCTCTGCCCAGCCCGGCAGTCACGGTCAGCTCAGCTCGTCCTCTGCCCAGCCCAGCAGTCACGGTCAGCTCCAGCTCCACGCGTGGGCTCCCAGGTCCCGCTGTGAGTACCTGGAAGCTGCACCCTGTTCACACAGCAGTGTGGTGCACGCCACGCATCAGGGACTTGCATGTGCACGACGTGCACGGAGCACACCGCATGACACACGGCCCCTGACACCTGCTAACAGCCAGCCTGGCGGAATCAACCACAATGGGAAAATGCTGGAACACGGGGCTGAATCTGATGGGCTGGGCACTACCAGGGACAAAGGGGCGCTACTGAAAATGCACCAGACCACCCAGGGCCCAGTGGGAACTGCTGGTTCTCTCTCCAGAGGGATAAGGCTTCTGACAGGCAGCCGGAATGTGCTTCTGGAATGCAGTCCTGGCCAGTGGCTGATACTCAACAGGTGCCAAGCCCCGCCCCAACGGAGACCACTGTTACTGCTGACCCCGCCCCAACGGAGACCATTGTTACTGCTGATCCCGCCCCAACGGAGACCACTGTTACTGCTGACTCCGCCCCTGCAGCGGGGCTTCCTTGGCCAAGAAAGCGGGGCCTCAACAAGTTGATGCAAACGGAATTAAAAGTTTATTTTTCTAACCCGATTTGGAAATGCATGCCTCGTTTGTTTTTGTATTTTTCCCCGCAATATGTATTTCCCAAGAACTTTGTGGAGACCCGCATGCCATGAGCTGTCTGGAGACACAGCAGCCAACAGCGGGGTTCACCAGGCTCCTGCCTCCCGGTCCTGGGTGGACGCAGGTGACCAAGCAAGGGTTTCCTTGCAGGGAGACAGCCACTTTCCTGCCTGCCTTCTAATTATCCGGACCAAGGGAGGAACAATGGTGCCGCCCCGTAGTCCCTGAAGAGAGGGTAATTGAGAAGTAATTCACAATCGCCTTTGGGATGCGTTAGGTGATTTTCTCCGGAAGCGCATTTGTCGCTTGCCTTCCTCATGGCTTGCTGAGGCTAAAAATTAGTTTGCATTCTTGGGCGCACAGCAGGCGGGTGGACGGGGGAGGCGGCTGTGCCAGGTGAAGCTACGGGTCTGAGTGCTGCACGCAGCGGAAGGTGGACTGGGTCACTCTGGTCTCCGTGCCCTTCCAGGAACTACTGGGGCTGTCGCTAAAGCCTAATGCAGAGCCTTGTGAAAATGACAAACGGTGGCGCAGGTCTAGATTATAGCGGCTGTGTGCCCTGGGAGGAGATTTATTCCGGATCCCTCTGTGAGGAAAAATGCAGACATCTGCAGAAAATCGCAGCCTCAATCCAATCTCTGCAATAGTTAACACTTGGTGGGGGCAGAACGACGCAGGGAGGAACCACGCTGCATAAACAAGATTGATTAGCTGCGGCAACCTGATTTTTTTTTTTTTTTTTGGTATGAAATCAAAGCAGCCTAAGCAGGGCAGGTGAGTGCTGTCTCCCTCCAAAGTGTGCCTCTCATTTCCATCATGGTGCTATCCAGAGCAATCTTCCGTGTAGCTCCAATTCTGAAGTATTCCACTTATTTGAAAATTATGTTTGGTGCCATTTTCATTACAAACATGCATTTTAAGTCAAGGACATTCTCTCTTCCATAAAACAATCACAGCTATTTCCAGAGAGAAGTGCAGAACGGAACTGAATGGCATCCTGCCTTCCCTTTTCAATTTAAAGCTTCATTTACACGTCAATATGCATTATTAACAAAACAACATTGTTATTCAGGCTCTCTGCATTTCTCTACAAGTAAAAATGACTGGAAATTACTGTGACAATCATAGCCCTAGAGAGCTATATGCTTAAAGAATTAAAATGTGCTTGGCACGTACAGATCAAGTTCCTACTTGTAAATGAAATGGCAAACACATTCGAGTATCATTTAAACCGTCAAGTTATAAATCTCATGATGCGGGTATCCTGCATCCGACAAGGGGCACAGCGCAGAGAGCCTGGCAAACAAAATGCAAATGTTCTGCTTGTTTGTGACTGGAAAAGTTACAGCTTAATCACGTCTTATCGGGGTCTGGCACCCAGGGCAAAAGTCTTTGCAGAGCGGAGTTAACAGTCCCCGTGACCCTGGCTGGCTCTTCCACCTGTCACTGCAGAGGCGCGGGGCTGGAGGCCCAGGGAGAAAACCCTCCTGGGCTGGTGGCGCCCACAGACGTGTGTGTTTTTCTACTTCTGCGCCCCGGGATTGGGATAGGCATCAGCCTGCCCGACCGGTGTCAATGTCAAGGTCAGCCCGGTACCTACAGGACAATTTTTCCTACTCTCATGATGAGACAGAAAAAGAAAAAAGGTTGCCAGTGTTTGCCAAAGAGAGGCTTGGGAATATCTGAACCAACAGGGCAGCTAGGGCCACGCAAGTACAATACAGCCCACACCCCTCCCCCAACACACACACTGGACCCAGTGCGCAAGCAGAAGGGAAGAGCCCTCGGCCAATCAGTCAGGAGCGGCTCAGCAGGGCCCGTGTCCTGGTGCCATGGCTTACACATCCTCCACAAGCATGAGACCCGGATGCTGTTTCAGATCCAGCTCCCTGCTAACGTGCCTGGGAACGCAGAGGAAGGTGTCCTGGGTGCTTGGTCCCCTGCACTCTTGTGGGAGACCTCGATGTAGTTCTAGGTTCCTGACTTTAACCTGGTCCAGCCCCTGACCATTGCAGCCATCCGGGGAGTGAACTAGTAGATGGAAGATCTCTCTCTCTCTCTCTCTAACTCTCCTTTCTATGAAATCAATCAATCTTTAAAAAAAAAAAAAAAAAAGAGAGCAGCAGTTTAGGGGATGATGAAGTACACTTTAAGAATGGGAAGTCATTTTTTAGGATAACCCTTGTTATTTGAATTTAGGAAAATTATTTATTTATTTATTTATTTATTTATTTATTTTGACAGGCAGAGTGGACAGTGAGAGAGAGAGACAGAGAGAAAGGTCTTCCTTTGCCGTTGGTTCACCCCACAATGGCTGCTGTGGCCGGCACAGCACACTGATCTGAAGCCAGGAGCCAGGTGCTTCTCCTGGTCTCCCATGGGGTGCAGGGCCCAAGCACTTGGGCCATCCTCCACTGCACTCCCTGGCCACAGCAGAGAGCTGGCCTGGAAGAGGGGCAACTGGGACAGAATCGGCACCCTGACCGGGACTAGAACCCGGTGTGCCGGCACCGCAAGGCAGAGGATTAGCCTAGTGAGCTGCGGCGCCGGCCTATTTATTTATTTTTAAAGACTCTTTTTTTATTTGAAAGGTAGAATTACAAAGAGAGAGAAAAGGGAAGAGAGAGAGAGAGAGAGAGGGAGGGAGGAGGGAGGGAGAATCTTCCATCCTTTGGTTCTTTCCCCAAGGCGCTACAGTGGCCAGGGATGGGCTAGACTGAAGCCAGGAGCCAGAAGCTTCATACAGGTCTCCCACAAAGGTGCAGGGGCCCAAGCACGTGGGCCATCCTCTGCTGCTCTCCCAGGTGCATTAGCAGGCGCTGGATTGAAAGCGGAGCAGCCGGGACTTAACCCACATGCAATGCCAGCGTCCCGTGGGCTGCTTCACCTGCTGCGCCACCATGCTGGCCCAGGAAGATGATTTCAAGTGAACCAAGAATAAAATCCATGACCAGCTGAATGTCCAGCAGTGGTCTACTTAGAAAGCTGAGAAAGACAACCCAGAGGAGCCCTGAAGAGCACGCCGCAGACGGTCCAGGCGAGCACGCGTGACAGCCCATCTTTGCTTTTCCTTGCCAACAGAGGAATGGGAAATCAAGAGAGGAAATAAATCAGGAGACATCTGATGACTTCCTATCTGGCAGTGCCCATCTATCTCAAGGCCTCTGACCACGGGGAGGACCACGGCTGGTCCAGCTCCTGGGTCTCACCACTGCTGGGGGGGGGGTGGTGCTGCAGGGAGGGAATCTGTGTGCAGCCAGGGCTCCCCAGGCAGCCACACCTGCACTGCTGCTGGGAGATGGGTCACGGGAGAAGACGGACGGCGCAGTCAGCCCGAGGGGACATGGAGAAGATGGAGTGGTCAGCCCGAGGGGACATGGAGAAGACAGATGGCACGGTCAGCCCGAGAGGACATGGACGGGCGTCTGCAGTGTGGCCTGGGGTAAGCAAGGCTCACTCCTCACTTTGGTGCCCAAGGCTTCCCAGCCCTGCACAAGCAGGTGGCAAACACTGGGTGTCCTGCAGCTCAGCTCACGCCGGGAGCCGGACGGCAGAGCCGACTGTCTGGTGGAGAGCCCTTGGGATGGGCTTTCTCCGCCAGGGAGGTCAGGGTGCGTCTTCCCCTCCCGTGCGTGGTGGGGTGCCCACCCTCTGGCGAGACCCCTAGGAAGTTCTCACTGAAGACAGAACAAAGGACGCGGTCCTCCTCTGAGCCTGAGGGTGCCGGTGAGGGGGCTTCGCTGGCCCGGGTGTCACCCCTTCCTGATCAGAGGGGTTTCACCCCCAGGCACAGCACTCAAATGATACAAGATCTCCATGTGTGTGGCATCAGGGGTCCACCGCTCAGACCCCCAGCCCCCCCAGAAAACACGGAAGGGGGTTTCCCTCCTACCCTTCTTGCTGGCGTCTGGAACAAGCCCTGGGCAGCGAGGTGTGACGAGTTCCGATGCGACCCACAGGTTCCTCCTACGCTCTGCAGGCTCTGAGCTGGGGTTAGCTTGTAGCCACGCGTGGAATTCGTCACCGGTTCCAGGATGTAGGTTTTATTGTCAAACATGATAAGTCCCCTATTGAAAAAGAAGCGAGAAAGAGTAGAAACCTTTGAAGGACAGCTTCTTGTTTATGGCTCAAGGAGAGGGGGTGGAAGGAGAAACACCAAGGCACGTTCAGGTTCTGCGTCTCATCAGATGGTTGCACTGATTCATTGTTCACACCTTTTGAAAAGCAAGTCTGAGGTTTTCTTTTTGTTTGAAATATTTTGTGCCAAAGAATAGATTGCATTGTGTCTTTATGTTGTTTTTTTCTTTTTGTATCTCAAAGACGCACTGCCAGGAGGAACAAACAAGAATGCTTCGTCTGCCGTGACTATATTTGCATTCATTAGCAGAAATAATCCAGAAGTCTTAGGACATTTCTACATCTAGAGTGTGTAGACTGACCAGTCCTATTTTCTATATTTTTGAGCAGATGGACAAAAGGATGAGTATTAATTTTAATTCTTTTGTGTCTTGCTTATTTAACTTGGGGGGAGATGTGGAAATCAGGGAAAAGAGGGAACCAGGAGAACCTCTCAAAGCTTTAGAACTGCTCCCTGCAGGCTGAGCTAGTGCCCTTGAGTGGGCAGCTCCCCGTAGAACCAGCGATGGCCACCTGGAGATGTCCCAGCCCGAGGACAAGTGGGGGCCCTACAGGACGGCAGCTTCAGGTTCACGTTCCCGCTTTGCTAATGGTAGCCGCATGACCTTGACTAAGTTCTTTCATCTCTTTGGGCCTCGGCCCGCTCACCTGGGGAGAGTGGCAGCTCCTGCTCCAGGTGGCCACGCTGCCCTGTTAGAACGTTAGACCAGGGAGGCCTGAAGACGCGCCTCAGAGTGGTAAGGACACCCATGGGGATCAGGTTTGGTTAACATCTTACTCCAGAGGACAGCAGGCAGCGAGTACTCCCCTGTGTGAACACCTCCCAGGGGATGCTGGCACCTGTGGCTCCCTGACATGGACACAGCATTCCTGAGATAAATACACACCAGGGAAAAATGACTGACAGTCCCTGGAGCCAACTTTTAGTCTGGGAGTAAAAGTATCGATTCTTTTAACCAGTGGACAAACGTAACTTGCAGAGGCAAATGTGGCCGTTAGCTGCGGCCCACGACCCTGCCTGCCTGCCTGGGGCTCGGAGCCAAGGCCGTGTCTCACTTCCCAGGGACGAGCAGCACCGCTGGGGGTGTCCACTTCTTCCACGTGACAGGGGTCACTGGCCTGCATGTTGATTTTCATTCCTCTATCGCTGAGTGGGACGGTAAAACCCTTTCTCTTAGAAGGTGCTTCCCGACACTGAGAGAAAGACTCCCTTTGGAGGAATTGCACTTAGGGGAACCGTCTGCTCCACGGGTCCCCACCTGTCACCAGCTTACACTGCTTGCTAGGTGACCAAAATCTCCCCACTTCAGATATGCACACAATTCTCACGCCAAGTCCACCTGATTGTTAGACACTGCTGGCAGACTCAGCCTTTTCTTTTTTTTTTTTTTTTTTATTCCCTAGAATAACCCAGATTATTTTAGCAGATTCGGGACAGAGGGACTCCAGGTTTAGAGCACTAGGTCTAAGGTACCTTACAAGTATAGTGCAGCGCCGGCGCCGCGGCTCACTAGGCTAATCCTCCGCCTTGCGGCGCCGGCACACCGGGTTCTAGTCCCGGTCGGGGCACCGGATTCTGTCCCGGTTGCCCCTCTTCCAGTCCAGCTCTCTGCTGTGGCCCGGGAGTGCAGTGGAGGATGGCCCAAGTGCTTGGGCCCTGCACCTCATGGGAGACCAGGAGAAGCACCTGGCTTCTGGCTTCGGATCAGCACAGCGCGTCAGCCGCGGCAGCCACTGGAGGGTGAACCAACGGCAAAAAGGAAAACCTTTATCTCTGTCTCTCTCTCTCACTGTCCACTCTGCCTGTCAAAAGAAAAAACAAACAAACAAACAAACAAAAACAAGTATGGTGCAGCAAGCACCCTGCGGGTTAGAGATCTCAGTTCTTCACCAACAGCTATGAACTCGCTTGCCCTGGCCAACGACCTGAACTTGGAAGATGTTTCTGTGTCATCTACCATGGCTCTCTCCGCGTGCAGCCATTCACTCACCCTACACTTAGTGATGGCCTCTGGGCATGCGACTGTTTAACATCTTTACGTTTCAGGAGAGTGACAGCATTTCAATGGCGGGGAGGGAAGAGGGTCGGATGAGCCAGTGACTGTTGTGAACAGGCCTCATCAGCTCATTACCCACAGTCCACTCCGCCACTCCCGTTTCATGAGTTGTAACGGGCAGCGAGAGAAGCAGAAAGATCATGTCTGGGGCTTGTACCCTGAGAAGACAGCACCAAGACGCCTGGGTGATCAGAAAACGTCTGAGCGGTGCTTGTCCGCCACCCGGGGTCCTAGCACCCGACTGTGCAGGAAGGCGCCAGTCCAGCGTGCTGTGGACCCGCTGGCTTTGGCTGTGAGAGCGCTTCAAAAAGCTTGTGGAATTTAAAAATAGGCTGATTTTGGTGCCGAAACATCTTGAAATCCATGCAGAATTGTTTCACCGTGCAGTGTCCACGAACATTGTGAAGATCCCTTGCATTTTTAAATCCCCCGCATTGATGCAAAGTCTTCATGTGAAGCTGTTTCCTTCCCCAAACCAGCATCCGAAAGAAACCTCCAGGTCCCTCTGGCACGACGCTGGCCGCAACTGCGTGTCTCTTTCCTCGACCACCCTTTATGCAATAAAGCCGACATTTCCAAGTGTAGGATGGGTAGTGGGCACTTTGTGTTCGTCAAAGTTGCTTTTTAGGAGCCTGACTTGAGGAGCCAGGACTGCGACGCAGCAAGTTAAGGCGACACACACGACAGCAGCGTCTCGCTGGAGAGCAGGCTGGCGTCCCATCAGCTCTGCTTCCTGCCCTGCACCCGCGGAGCTCATGGAGTGGCCGAGTGCTTGGGCCCCGCCATGTGTGTGAGAGACCAGGCTCCTGGCTTCAGCCTGGCCCAGACCTGGGTGGTGAGCAACCCAGGGGGTGGGGGGAGCTGAACGAGCGGATGGAAGATTCTTCCTCCTACCCCTCCCCCAGTTGCTCTGCCTTTCAAATCGATCAATTAACCTTTTTTTTTTTTAAAGCCTAAATTAAGAGAGAGAACTTTAAAAAACAGGCAAGGGGGAAAGTGGCAGCAATTGGAAATGCAGACTTGCTAAAAAACAGGCTTTCCTACCCTAAAAAGAACACGGCACGCTGCATTTTGCAAGTCTGACTTAAACAAGCCTAAGCCTGAGACTAAAATATGTCACCACATTCTAATCATGAGAAGCAAACCACTGAAAAAGTTTTGCTACGCCGTGGAAACTTTCTAGAAATTGTTACTTAAGTCATAAAAATGTTCTCATATCTCCTTTTATCTTCTGAGTCATCCAAAGGCCAGATGTTGAGAAACTGGGGTGAAGGCCTTTTCTTTGCTCCGAACAGCTGGCAGCCTATAGGACAGCGTAATTAAATAATTGCTTGGGATCGTCCTGGGTCTAATTAATCATTTAGCTCTAAAGACTGCTGGAAACAACCGTGGATACACAATTCAAGTATTCAGGGTTTCCGAGATGTAAAATTTTGATGTTCTCACAGCCCTCGAGGGCCCCGAGCTAGATAAGGGAATGTAATTTGTTTTAAGTTGACTGTCATAGATATTTAGCTGTAAAGTTAAGACTTGGAAGATGCTCAAAGCTCGGAACTGGAACCCAGCAGGCTTTTAATGTGGGGCTCTTGGCTCCTTGGTTGAGTAGGGGGAGGGGGACAGGACCCCGGTGCAGCCGCCAGGGAGAGCCGAGGCCGCGTTCTGGGCAGAAGGTGAGGGGCTGTTGCAGGTGGCAAGAGCACCCTTCCCGGTGCTTTGCCAGGATCCAGGCCTGGGCTCGGCCTGTGACACGGATCCCGCTGGCCACCTGCTTGCCCTGCGGCTCCAGCCATGTGCACAGTGCGAGGGGCAGGTGGCTCCGGCCTGGGCCTGTGTGTCCATGGCTTGGGCTCCCGACCCCCACGCTCCCCTGCCTCCTCTGGGGGTGCCTGGAGAGGACGGAGGGGCCCAACGCAGGGAGCAGCGCGGCGGAAGCAGAAGCAGCAACGTCAGGGGCTGGAGAAGCAGAGCTGCTGCGTTGAGACCCGACAGCCTTCCCGGCTGCGCCAAGCTCCGCTCGTCTCCCTCGAGGGAACGGAGAGGGCTCGGCCACAATTTTAAGCTCAGCTTTTTAGATTTCAGAATGAAAGCTCAGCAGACTGCTATTTCCTCGAGAGAAGCCTCTGCCCTCCGGGAATGGGGTGTCTCATCTGGGGGGCAACGCCGCACCGGGCACTAACACAGCTCCGATGACCTCCCCACTCCCAGGCAAGCAGGAGAATGGCAGGAAATGGTTAGAAAATATAAATTATCCTGGCTGGTGCTGATTGCATTTCCCAGGGAGAGATTCTGGTCTCAACATGGTGAGAGACGCAGCTGCTAGCTCTGAGCGTGCCTTTCTGTGCTCTGCTGGAGGAACTCGGTGGCAGAAGGAACCGCCCACTTCATACATGGTGATCACCAGGGATGGCAGCAAAATCGGTGACTGCAGACGCCACAGGGCGGGGCCTGTCAGTAAGTTCCAGTGAACCACGCAGGGGCAGCCAAAACAAAGCCTTATTATCTCCCTACCACGTGCAAGGCTCTGGGCTGGACACACAAAGACCTGGAACCAGGACGGGGAGGTGCGTGCGATGGAAGAGGCGATAGGTTGAACGACTGTACAGGATGTTAAGAACGGGGGCTGGCGTGGTGGCTTAGCGGGCACAGTGCTGCCTGGGATACCAGCATCCCACAGGGGTGTTGGTTCGGGTCCCGGCTGCTCCGCTTCTGATCCAGTTCCCTGCTGATGGTCTGGGAAAAGCAGCGGAATATAGCCCAGGTGCTTGGGCTCCTGCACCCATGTGTGAGATGCAAATGAGCTCCTGACTCCTAGTGGGAGTGGGCTAGAGATCTAGCAGATCTCTCTCCCTTTCTCTGTAGCTCTTTCAAATGAATGGATAAATTAAAAACAAATTTATGACCCAGATCTTTGCTACAGTGCCTAGAAAAGCAGCAAAAAGTGACCCAAGTGCTTGGGTGGCTGCCACCAATGTGGGAGACCAGCAGGAGTCTCGTGGCTCCGGCCTGGCCCAGCCGTGGGTATTGTGGCCATTCAGGGAATGAACCAGCGGATGGAAAAATCTTTCTCTATCTCTGCCCTTCTCTGTAACTCTGCCTTTCAAATAACAATAAATAAATCTTAAAAAAGAGGAAGTTAAAACAAGGGGCAGGTGTTGTGGTACAGTGGGGTAGGCCCCCACCTGTGATGCCAGCATCCCATGTGAGTGCTGGATCGAGTACCAATTGCTGTTTCTGATCCGACTCCTGCTACTGCACCTGGGAAGGCAGCAGCAGATGGCCTGAGAACTTGGGCCCTTGCACCCTTATGGGACACCCGGATGGAGTTCCAGGCTCCTGGCTTTGGTCTGGCCCAGCCCTGCCTCTAGTGAACCAGTGGATGGAGAATCTCTCTCTCCTTTTCTCACTCTCTCTGTAGCTCTGCCTTTCAAATAAATAGAATAAACCTTTTCACAAAAAGAAATTAAGTGTAATTTTCACCACGACTCCTACTAGTGATGAAAAACGTGTGGTTCCCTCCAAGAGGGGGAACCAGGAGCTGAGGAGGGGTGGACAAGGGAACCAGAGGAAAGGTGGACCTTCCGGCCCCAGCTGGGAGGCTGACAAGCAGGGTCAGGAGGGGTGGACATGTGGGCATGCAGTAGCCACATGGGGGCGGAGCACAAAGCACATGGAGTTAGCTCGCCTCCGCGGCGGACAGCTGGCTGGCTGTGCATGGAGCGTGGTGACGCCCGCATGCTTACCCACCAGCCATGGGGAGAGCGCATGTGAGCACGGAGCCATAGGAGGAGAATCCCAGACACTGTGATGGCAGCGCACTCACAGGACGGCCATGGTGGGCAGCCCAGGCTCCAGGACAAATCTAACCACGGCCGGATCGCCCCCCCATGCACTGGGAGCCACCTGGAGGTCAGAACGGACTCCCTGGCGGGACCCCCGTCCCACCACTATCTTTGTGCTCCCCCTCATCTTTTTCCCTTTCAGCTTCAAGGGATGGCGGCTGACTCGGGGATTCACACCTCCCCTCTTTGCTGGCCCAGGACAGAGCCTGTCTTTGCCTGCCCATCTCTGATCTGCTGGGCTCCAAGGACCAGCAGTGTCCCCTGGGGCACGGGGATGGCTTCCACATCGCTAGATCTGACACATGCTTCTGGAACCCGCTCAGTTGAACGCAGTGTCTAAGCCCTGATTTCTTCCTTCTTGTCTTCCAGGCGAGGGCCCTGCGGTTGCGTCTTCCTCCTCTTCACGTCCAGTCCCGATCGATCCCGCCCCCAGGGAGCAGCTGACCGAAGGCAGCTTCCCCCCTCGGGCCTCAGTCTGCACTTGCGAGGTCATGAAGCTGACTGCATAACTCGGGAATTTCTCTGTTGACGCACAGTCTGCTGCGTCTGGAACCACAGCACAGGGAGCTGGGGTCTCGGGAGCACTGTGGGAAGGGGCTCGTCAGACCCACACAGCGCCCCCGCTGCCGTGCCCACGGCCCTGAGGTCCACACCAGACGCCCAGCACTTGCTCTCTGCCTTCCCCTCAGAGCCCGGCCACGGCACTGCACGCTCCCCTTTGTCAAACTGGGGCTGAGCGTCAGGCCCAGGGAGGGCGTCTTCTCAAGGTGCCGGAGACCAGAGGGGGACACTGAGCTGCCAGGCCGAGGAGCCTGGACCCTGGTCACTGCCTGTGGCCTGCGGGGTGGCCAGCAGGGCTGAGATAGCATGCCTGGAACTCAGGGCCGGGGCAGGCCTGGCAGGAAGGCTGGGGAGTTGTGCCCAGCAGCACAGCCATTAGGAGGGCAGGTGGCTACTATCAGGACCAGTCTTCTGCCTCCTTAGTTGATGTCCCTGGCCTATAACTGGTCTCCTCGACCGAGAAAAGGGGAGAGCAGGAACACCTCGGAGTCGGTCCCTTTCTCTTTGCCTGTTAGGAATTTGCCACTCTCTGAAAACCTCCCGGAAGTGAGCAGCCCCCCTGCCCCGCAGCCCTGGTTCTGGTGATGTGAGACCACAGCTCAGCCACGCTTGGAGGAGGCCCCTTTGGTCCCAGGTGTCCCTGGCTCTCGTATGTTCTCCTGGCCAAAGCTCACTGCTTACTTCAGTGCCTGGCCCGGTGCCCTGCTCCCCGCCTCCGGCGCTGGGCACAGCTGCCCCTCAGGTGCCTGGGGTGGGGCCCCTGCCTGCTCTCCCCATCTTGCTCCTGCGATTATTTCAGCCCCCCACCCCGATGGTCCTGCCAGAGCCGACGAGATGCACGTGGCGCACCTGAGCTGACCTCGCAGCCAGGCCCCACCCTCCTCACGTCTCAGGACGGAGCCTGGTGCTGCTGGCATAAAAGATAAGCAAATGGCGTCCACCAGGGGCAGAAAGTGGCTTTGCTGTCCATCCCCAAGTTCCAGCTGCGGTCCTAGTCCCTACCTCGACAGTGACAGCAGGTGAGCGGGTTTAGGTGAGGCCCTGAGGCTGGGGCCCAAGGAAGACACCAGGGCTCCCTCCTCTGCGCGCAGTGGGCACCACCCTGGGCTGGCCGGCGCAAGCTCAGCCAAGAGGCCTCAAGAGGAAGCGCTCTTGTTCGCACCTCGGTCTTGGACGTCACTGCGGGATCAATCAGCTGATGGTGCTCCGAGACGGCAGCCCAGGCTGGGACCACGCCCGGGGACGACACCAGCGTGGAGGAAGGCAGAGGTGGAGAGGAATCGGACGCAGGCAGGTGCACTGGGACCCTGGACCCGGCCACGCCTGTGGCTGTCGCTGGGCTTTTCAGCTGCGCGGTCTGTCCCCGGGTCATTCTGTCTTTTTCATGCCAGTTGGAATTCGCTTGTCATTCCTTTGGGCACCGAGTAACATGGAAATGCCCAGCCTGGACTGAACAACCTTCGGAACAAACACGTCCCTCCTCGGGTCTTCTGAGAAGCATGGCTGTCAACTGTCGATCTCCCCTTTCCGCGTGTGTCTACCGACTGGCCGCAGGAGCGAGGTCGCCATGACCGCATGGCCTGGCCTGGGTCTGGAGCCATCCAGACCCGGCCCCAGCCCGGCACACCGTGGCACTCCCTACAGAGGCCGAGGGACTGTGATTGGTCGCTCTCTCAAGGCGGGCTCATCACCGAGCTCTCCTATAGGCCACTGAACGCACCATCCAAACATCCCCGCCCCCTCCAGCTGGAGAGTTTATCTGTTTTAAACCCAGGATGCTGGGGCTCGGGGAGGGCTGCTGGCTTGTCCACTGTTCCACCACAGTGGCGATGATATCAGATCTGC